TGGGGGGAATATGGAAGGTAACCAGGTTTGATTCACAGAGGGAGAGAGTAACGCCAATTCCTCTGGATCAAGAACCATCCACCAGCTTCAAAGAACCAGCCATTTCAAGCCTTTCATAAACTGCACGAATGTGAAAAAACTTCCTAGTCGTCCTTCAAAACAGCCATTTTACAGTAACCCCAGGTTACAGTAACACTGGGTGATGGTAACCTAAGTTGACAGTAACCCCAGGTGTGGTAAACCCTAGTTAACAGTAACCCCAGGTGATGGTAACCCCAGTTTAACAGTAACCCCAGGTGATGGTAACCCCCAAGTGACAAAGGTGAAAAACCCCTCTAACATAAATAATTACATACACACCCATTATCAAACCTGTCTAGTCAAAAATACTCAAAAATATGTCAACGTAAGTTTCATTTTAGCAAAGGACTCTTCTATATAAATTACTAAATGTAAAAAGCAGAAAAGCTTCATAAGGTTTTCTTCTTTTTTGAGTTGCCTTGCCTCAGTGAGAGATAATAACAATAATAATAATAATAATAATAATAATAATAATAATAATAATAATAATAATAATAATAATAATAATAATAATAATAATATCTTTATTTACATGTACAAGGTATACAGGCCTAGCTGACAGCAGTGACATACTACTATACAGAAAGCTGCTTGTTATGCTGAGCATTTTGGGCAAATTAGGTCAGTTTTGTCCCAGGATGCGACCCACACCAGTCGACTAACACTCAGGTACCCACTTTATATTGATGGGAAGTTATACTGATGGGAAGTGAAGTAGTGGAGGCAGGATCCATACACAGCTTTAAGAAGAGGTATGATACAGCGCATGGAGCAGGAAGAGTGAGCCAGTAGCAACCAGTGAACAGGCGGGGCGAGGAGCTATGACTCGACCCCTGCAACCACAACTAGGTGAGTACAACTAGGTGAGGGACAGCAGGTGTCTTATGGAAACACGTCCCTAATATTTTCCAGCCGTACCGGAGGAGATTCGAACTCCAGACCTCAGTGTGTGAGCTGAGTGTGCTAGCAATCAAGCTACAGGACACGGTATGTTGAAAAAAAAAAATAATTTTCCCATGTGCTGGTAATTTGTGTAAAGCAAAAAAATACTTTTAATAACATAACAAAATACTTAATGTATGAAGATATATATTCAAGATCAAACAAGGCCCTAACAAGAGCATTAAATGATGCCATAATAAAAATAATGAATTTAAGCTACATAGCACATGAGAATGAGCGAAGGTCTCACTTAAATATCCAAACACTTCTATTTTATAACAACTCTATTGTTATTCTAAGAATTACCATGAGAACAGTTTGATGACATCTTGTATGGCATTATCAGCCTTGTCTAGTTATGAATTTTTCTCTTAATCCTGCCACTGGGCAGGAAGATACACAAGTAATTACAGATATCTCCATTTCTGGTATAGGGATCTAGTACATAAAATTTAAATGGAGACATACCTGGGGACTGAACATTTCTAAAGAGATGGTCAGATTTAAAATAATTTTTATTTATTTATTATCACACTGGCCGATTCCCACCAAGGCAGGGTGGCCTGAAAAAGAAAAACTTTCACCATCATTCACTCCATCACTGTCTTGCCAGAAGGGTGCTTTACACTACAGTTTTTAAACTGCAACATTAACACCCCTCCTTCAGAGTGCAGGCACTGTACTTCCCATCTCCAGGACTCAAGTCCGGCCTGCCGGTTTCCCTGAATCCCTTCATAAATGTTACTTTGCTCACACTCCAACAGCACGTCAAGTATTAAAAACCATTTGTCTCCATTCACTCCTATCAAACACGCTCACGCATGCCTGCTGGAAGTCCCAAAACCCTCGCACACAAAAATTTACCCCCCCTTAACCCTTTAGGGGGAACATCCTTACTACACCCTACACAACAGTTTCTCCCATTTAAGCATGAAGGTATCTCATAACAGTTTCACAACTTGGTTCAAAACCTCCCTAAAACTCAACATCTCCCAAAATACCCCCTCTTCTCTACACTCCTCCTCCTTACCTGGTGCATAAATACACACTATAACCTCTTTCATATCCCACCCCTTAATTTAAGCTGCATGAAGTCCTTGAATTTTATATAACTTACATTATATCCACCAAGCGTGCATGATCGTGTTAGATATAGAGAATGGAGACAATGGCACTTGGGGACCTGACGACCTGTTGAGTGTGAGCATGGTATATTTAGTGAAGGGATTCAGGAAACCGTTATTTTCTTATAGTCCGGACTTGATCCTGGAAATGGGAAGTACAATGCCTGCACTTTAAAGAGGGGTTTTGGGATTATTGGCA